TTCCTCCCCTTTTCTTCCTCCCCTTTTCTTCCTCCCCTTTTCTTCCTCCCCTTTTCTTCCTCCCCTTTTCTTACGTCCCCCAACTTTGCCTCTTCCTGCCGAACTAAGTCTTTGGTTCTAACTCCACCCGATTCAGGTACCTCCCCTTCCGCCGAATGGATCTCCAGGAAGACGGCTCCTGGAAGCCCATCCGCTGGCCCCTGCCCTGCGGCGAGGTGCGCGACATACCCGCCAACGCGAGGGTGCACGGCAGCGTTATCCGGCGCATGCAGGCGGAAGAGAATTACCGGCCGGGCAATCTGATTGTCGGGGGCGGCGGGCGCGGGGTGAGGAAGGCGCCCAAGGAGCTGGGGATCGGGGACTGGGTTTGTGTGGAGCATGAGGGCTGTCCCATTGGGGAGGTTTGGGTTAAGAGGGAGGCTGTCGAGGGGTCGAATCAGAATGGGAAGGCAAAAAGCGGGTGACCGGGCAGGGTAAGGTAGGTTGTGATATGTGTAAATGACACTGTCGCAGACTACACGATTCTTCAGCAACAGCAACAAGATCATACCAGAAGGTTACACAGCTCAATCTCGGTAATACTAGTTGTACCAATGCCTATCTCGGCTATCCCCGTTGTTCGGTTATAGTCCCCATAAATTGGGCTCTTGTCATCCGTCGTCATTGTTCTCGTCTTACCTGAGTTTCGGGTTCCAGCTGCATGTGCGGTGTTGATGATTTTTAGTATGTTCTTGGTGAGGAGCAGCCTGCCACTGGTATCATAATGAATCCGAACGTCTGTCTCCGAGCCATATCATCCGTCGTCATATGCATCTTTGAAATGATGAGTTCGTGAACAGGAACCCGCATGGTCCAGAGAAAACCGGGTGGACGTACGGGTACATCAGGTTTGATAACAGCATACGTCCCACGAGTCACGCGCTGATGATATCCCGAACATGCTATTCCTACAAGCAAGTGAACCAATTGATATATCCACACATCCACAGCAGTTGCACACCCAACACATTGTCTCGAACCATGGGGTTGTCCTTGTAAACCCCGACAACCCAAACCACGTCCACACCGAAACACACACTCAAGCCATCTCCATCTGCAGCTCCCTCTGTGTTCTATCCATCGCCTCAGGGTCCAGGCCTCCGATGGTCTCCCCACATTCAAGACATCTCGCGAGCTGCATGCCACACTCCCCGATGGCGAACTGCAACAACACACCAGGTTAGTGCCAGTTCTCTACACGCACAATCCCCGCTCACAAACGATCTTCTGCAACCCTAACAGTTCCGGAGCTAGGAAGATGGACGTACCTGATGGTCATTGCGAAATTTATACCAATGCGCCGAGTGAGTCGCGATCCCGCCTGGGCCCGAAACCATGGCCGACTTGATGGCCGTGACCTCCTGTGACGTGACGGTCTCGTACCTCGGCCCTTCGAACAAACGCACGGTGTCGTCCACCTCGCTGTGGTAGTCCTGCCCACTCGGGAAGCTGTCACACATTGCCACTGCGTCTACCAGGAGACGGCGTGCGATTTCGGTCGTGTCCTCTTCTTTCGTCTGCTGTTCTGAGCCTTCAGTCTGGGCAGTGCCCTCGCCAGCGGTAGTATTGCTGCCTCTCTCCGTGGTGTTGGCCCTCGCAACGGCGCGGCGGTACTGCGGTACCATCCCTCGAGTTGGGCGATGCGGGCGTACGAGAGAATGGTGGGGATGACGAGGCGGGGGAGTTTGGCCTCGGTGGCACCAGCAATGAGGGCTTTGCACTGCCGGAGGAAACGAGCACTGCGCTTGTCTGGTGGTCCTCCCGGGACGTGTGAAGGCGTCAGTGTGCCTTTGCACTCGGAGAGGAGGGTGAAAGTGTCTCGAAGCATTGCTTTTGGATGCGGAGTTGTAGGCGGCTGGCATTCAAGGTAATCTGTCGGTCTTACACTGGCTGGGGGACCGCCGGGCTCGGGAGATGCGCGATAGTGGGCTGAGAGATATGGAGGTTGCTGATCCGGTCCTTCAAGGCGGCTAGCTCGCGGTCACGCCGTTGGAAGCTCCTGACTGCGTCAAAGAGCTTCTTCGTCTGTTGATGCTCTGCGTTCATCTCCTTTCGCAGCCTTCCCGTCTCCCTATCCAGCTTCTTGGCGAGCTGGTGGAGTGCAGCCGTCGTGCCCAGCAGCTCCGAAGCTGTGGACTCTCTGGAAGAGGAAAGTTGTTCCTCGACTTCTGCTACCTGCTTCTCGAGTTCAGCCAACTTCTCACGTCCTCCAACCAAGAATCTCTTTGAGGTCGCGTCGAGGACAGTCTTGTTGACAACGCGGTTGCAGCGTTTGGTGGCAAACTGGCGGATTGGCACCCGGCAGTCCGGCCAAGCGGGAATGGAAGTCAACTCTCCGGAAAGCTCCTGAAGACCGGTGTAGTTGCCGAGCTTGTCGGTAATATAAACGCTGTTCAATCCAACCAGACCGTCGAGGGTCTCGCCAGTAAAGAAGTGGCCACATCCAAGAACAGCTATGGGAGTGTCGTTTAGGTCGATTTTGCCGTACGTCTTGAACTTCATGAGGTCTACTCAATGGTCTTTGCGAGTGCAGCAGATCTGACACGTCTTGTGGACACTCCTCTCCGCAGAACTCGGACGCTGGTGGCCGCATCTCAGCTGGAGTGTACATCGTTTGTTGCAGGGCAGACGGTTGCATGGCGCCGCGCATTGCAATGAGCAGGCCCCTTGGTGTTCGCAAGCCCAGGTGCACGATTTAATGCAGGGCGTGCAGGGTTTCTGGCATTCTTGGTGGCAGCGAGACTGAGGGCATTCGACCTGAGTTCTCGGATTAGTGAATTTAGTACTGGGTCCGCAAGCAAGACATTCTGGAATGGGGAATGGAAGGGCAACTAATGGATGTTGAGACAGAGGAAGAAGATAAAAGAGAAGAGGGAGAGAAGAACAACTGAGAGAGGATAGGAAAAGTGTTTGGAATCATCTGTCTTTGGAACGGATCGATAGACTCCAGCAGGGACCCCTTGCAACCTGACCAGAAGTTGAAAAGTAGACAGTTACCTCACACCTCTTTGAACAAATCGCGCATCCAGTTCCCTCATGACAGGGCTTTGAACAACGGTGATCGCAGGCTCCGTACGGCCGCCCGCACGTGGTGTTGCACTGTTGATGCTGGAAGCTGATTTTGCCTTGGTCATCTTGCGCTCTGCATCGTCCGCAAGTGCCCGGACACTGATGTCCACAGTTGAGATCCTCGGTACATAGGGCTGGGCAGCGGAAGAACTTGGACGTAACATCCTGATAGCATGGCACAGCGACAGTGTGCACACACCCTGGTACCTTTTTCTCGACTTGTCGAGAACACTGAATCGCGGACGACAGCGACGTACTGTGGCACTCCACCTTGTCATGGACATGGTTACAGGGCAACTTGACGCCGTCGACCTGAGCAGTGCATGGCCCGCGTTCCTGACCACAGAGCTTTGGGCACGGGTGCTGACACGCCGAACGAATCCTGGGACAGGGTTGCAAGCAGTTGAACGCATCGTGAAGGCGCCGGGAGTGGCACCGTGCCGGACACCTGTGGCCGCAGGGCTCAAGCCTCTTGTCGCAGATGAGGGTGCAGCCGCCGTCGGGGCTCTTGATGGTGAAGTCCTCAAGCTCGGAACAGAGAAGCGGTGTATCTGGGTGACGGGGACACAGCAGGGCGATGGACGTTCCCACGGCGTTCCTCTCACTGAATTGGCGGTGAACATCGGCCCATATGGGGACGTTCTGTAAGTCTTTGTGTTCCCAGTGAGGTACATTCCGTGTTGAGCCCGGCTGACCAGCACGTTGATGCGGTTCTCGGTGCGGAGGAAGTCAACTTTGCGATTGTTGTTGCTGCGAACCAAGGACACAATGATGACCTTGGCCACCTCGCCCTGAAAGTTGTCAACGGTCGCCAGGCGGATGGTCTGCAGAAGTTGTTTCTTCTCAACGGCCTTCCTGAGCCCCGCAGCAGCCGTCTGTTCTTCCTCGGGCTTCGACCGCGACTCTTCCTTTGCGAGTGTGTCCAAATTGCGGTCGCTAAGGAAGACCTCACAGTGTTTGTTGAGGGCCGATCGGAACTTCCGGAGTTGGCCGGTGTACGGCGTCAGAAGAGCAATGTCTGTAGTCTTGTACTCGCCTTGACGAACCAGGTGCCGGATCAACGCCGCTGCCATGTCGACCTCCCACAGGTTGCTGTGTGACGTGACTTGGAAACCATCGTCTCTCGAGTCTTCGGGGTGGTTGTGTGTAAGCCAGAAGAGGTTGTCTCGCATCCCCACAACCGATGGAAGGTTCTCGACACAGTCATGATCCTCAAGATTCGGGTACACCCTTCGGATGAGCTGCAAGATTTTGGGTCGCATGCAGCCGTTGGACGTTGAGCTGTGCCACCGGCAGCGGCGGAAGATTCGGTTCGCCCACGGCACGGCGCTCAAATTGACTGCGGTCAAGTTGATACGCGCATCCGACAGGCGTTTCCAAGCTGAAGTTTAGGTAAGTTTGGATCTGCGGCCGAAGATGTCGGTGGTCGCCGATCTGGATGAAGTGCTCAACCCCAGGCATGAGGGCAGATATGACATGAGGCTCCATCACTTCAGCTGCCTCCTCGCAGATAATGATTTTGAGTCCAAGACAGCGCAACATCTTGATATTTTGAGCCAGCCCCGTGGTTGTGACGCCTAGGACATCGGCTTGTAACAGAGCCCGACGGTTGACATCGTCGTAGATGCCATGAATCCGTTCTCGAGAGTCTTCGGCTTCCTCAATGGGCTCAAACCCTCATCGCTTTGTATTTCTGTCATTTCCGCAAACAATCTCCCGGCGAGCGCCCAACGCTCTCTGTGCGTGAGGGAGTTGATGTTCTGCTCAGCCCAGAGTGCCAGCTCTGCCACGTTGAGGTCGGGGTCATCAACAGGTTCCTTACCCTTGAGATTCGCGCTTTATCTTCCCAGCCAAATCGTCACAGTGTCGCCGCCAACCAGGACTAAATCATCCTCATCTTGAGCTTGGAACTGACCCGCGATGATTGGGTAGTGCCGCTGCAAGAAGCGTCGGAGGCTGTCCCAGCTGAGTCGAGCCCTGCGAGCGTCGTGGAGGGGCTTCAGGCGGGCTTCGGCAACTTCGAAACACTCTTCAAGGTATGAATAACTCTGACCCAGAATGCGGTTTTCGACGGTGGTCTTGGCGATGGCCCTGTTCACGACCCGGAGGTTCTTGCCTCCGAGCTCCTCGGCGCGACTCTGGCCACCAGTTCGAATAATCTTGTGAATTCCAACATCGAGGAGGTGCCTCAGAAACTGGTTCAAGGCATGGTTCGTGTAGCAGCTGCGTGTTTGAAGACGTCAGTTTCCTGCCCGCCTCATGAAACTGTCATCTGGGAGATTTGCAACTTACATGACGAGGAGCGGACCCAGCTCTGCTTCGATTTTGTGGTCCATCAGTACTCTCACCAACTGCACGCAAACATGGGATTTTCTGGTACCGGGAGGCCCTTGGATAAGAGCATATTCGCGTGTTAAGGCTGTAATCAAGCTCTGAGACTGTCCGAGATCGAGACCTGTTGCCGCCTCAAGGGTTTCTGGACTAATGCTGTCACCCGGGGCTGCAGGAGCAGGATTGAAGCTGATGTCAGGATGCCCGCTCCGTATAATGGTTTTGAGACTGAACCGAAAATCGTATTGGCGTGCATGCGCCGGCGGTGGTACCTCGGTGGACACTTCCTCCCCTCTGGGGTCTGCAGGCGGCAGAATCCAACGTTGGAAAGCGAGATGTCCGTCTCGCATCATGTACTGAAGATTTTCAAGAATAGGCACGAATGTCTCTGGAAGCAGGCCTGGCAGCTCGATCAACAAGCCCTCTTGTGGTGAGGTTGCAGGGGATTGGGTCAAACATGAAGCTGAATAATAACATGCTAGGTTAGGGTGGATAGGGAGTACGAACGAGAAAAGGCTTAATCTGCAATCCAATTTCTGATAGACTACTCCGTGTGAAAATGTACTTAGTGAAGAACTCTCTATACCGGTCGAGCTGACTGACCGTGGAACCCCTAAAGGAAACGATGATCTGCTTTTTGACTGGGTCTACGCCGTCCCGCTGTCATTTGCAGATCAGCGTTGATTAAAGCCGGGGTATCAAAACCAGAAGACATCCATGAACGACGCGACAACCGTGGCAATGTGCGAATCGAACATGAAGCGCTGACCTGGATTACAGGTGACGGTTTGCCCAGGAGATTTTTTATTTGCAGGATGATGCTATAGACCACTATGTACACAACTTGCAGTTGTTCAGCTGCTTAGCGGTAACACCATCATGATTCACGTTAGTCTTAAAACTTGTTAAGAGGGAGCATAGGGTTTTGCTTACCTTGTCCTTTTGGGTTCGGCGCTCCGAGGGTGAGAGACAATGAGGAGAAGACGGTTGAGAAAACACCCTTCATCGTGACGATCTTGAGGGGAATTGGATGGTCCCCTTCTAACCGGTGTGTTTACTCGACATAGTATATAACACCTATGTACTCGAGACCAGGTATCAAACAGGTCTTGATGTTTGACTGCCCTTATATAAGCTACCTCTAGTGCATCGATGCAGTTTTGTATTTTTAGCTTATGTAGTACCTCTGTCTAAGAACACAAGCACGGAGTATCTATCCGAGGTCTCCTCCACACCTCTGGAAACCACCTCCTGGGGCAACCTCTACTGTGGGATCTACCTCCAAGAAGCAGAGATGATGCAATACTCTAGTAACGAACAGAAAAAGTCCCCCGGTAACTACCGCCGGGAAGTGGAAGATGATGCAATACTACAGTCACAGACAGAAAAACTCCCTCCGGTAACCACCTCCAGGAAGCGGTAATGATGCAATACTACAGTCACGGACAGGAAAACCACCTCCGGTATCACCACCGGGAAGCGGATGATGATGCAATACTATGGTCACAGACAGAAATCCCTCTCCGGTAACCACCGCCCGGAAGCGGAAGATGATGCAATGCTATAGTCATAGATAGAGAGAACCATGGCCTTTGGGTCGAAGTACTGAGATAGATGTTAGCAAAATTGTTATCAAGAGGATATATAGGTCTGGTTCACTTCCATTTTTCGTTCACAAGTCTGCTTCAACGATTTACTACAACACCACTTCCAACCTGCTTTCTCCCTGTATACTTCGCTATTATCCCACTTTGACAAGTTACAAACTTGAAGGGTATCAGTGAATATGAGGCTCTCTCTCCTTGCCACCCTCACGGTCGCCGGCCAGTCTATGGCTGCAGTTATGCCGCCGACCCTACTGCCGACACCAGTCAAGGCTCGGCAGTCGAACGAGTCTGAACCTGCCTGTATGTCCTTTTTCAAAGAGGCATTGATTAATCTAGACTAACGTGTTACTTAGTGGTTGAGTCTCTCATTGCAGCTGGCTGTAACCCGTTCCAATGCCTCTCGATTGTCGGTGCAATCCCTTGCATCATCCAAGGTGTGGTGAATGGAAACATACCTGAGATTTCGAGGTGTGTGCAAAACAACATGCCTGCGGTAGGTCTCTATATCTTTGCACGATGTTGTCATTCCTTCAGCTGAATCTATACTAGCTCTGCTCCTGTGCTGGCTGTGTCCCTGGTCTTCTGAACATCCTTGACGTCGCCGGTATTTGTTAAACAGCTGGAGCAGTATGTCATTCATTTCACTGAAAGAAGCATCACGAGAGTTACATGCCGTATATAGCTCGACGTGCTACTACAGCACCTGTACGGCGTATACAAAGTCGCTAAGCGTAGGTAGTGAGGTGACTGGTTGGAACAGTTGAAAAGGAAGCATTCATTAACTAGGAAATTTAATCTAACTACATTCGTTGTTAGCTAGATCGGAAGGACGAAAGTGTATCCAATCTTTTGGCTAAATCTATGTAGATACAAACTCTGCTAACCACCTATGCAATCACCTGGGCAATTGATGCAGGAGGCACTAAAGGGAAGGCAAAGTATGGGTATAACTGAATAGCCAGAAGGAAGGATGGAGATGCAGGAAGTCGGTATTGCGCAGCCTGCATGCAAGTGTCGGAAAGCCAACAGCCACGATTCCACGGTGACACGCTTTGTGGGAGCCGTTAAAACATGTGAACTTTTCGAGTGCCCGGGATCAGCCCATAATCTGTCAATTGAGTTGTCTCTTCACTCAAGTTACCTGGGTATCTCCCAGACCTTATGTAATAGCCGTTGTGAGAGACGAGCAATATACAAGCGAGGCACAGAGCGCGCTGCAATACTACTCAATTCTGCTAGGTGTGCCAGCGGTTCCGATCGCGGAAACCTTATTCCGAGGCTCGACCCGCTTCCGACGTCACATGCCCTGATTGGGAGGGCGTGGATGCGACCAATCAGTGCATTGCAGGATCGTTGTGGGTCATTGGGCTCAGAAGCCCTGCCCATCTCTCTTTTCCCCTGCATAGCTGTTTGTCTCGTAAAATAGACCTACTGATTTAGAGGCTCGCCCTCTTGCATGCAGTAATCGTTGCCGTTACACACATGACACACCGTTCAGACAGCAAATTCAAGCTTCATCTTTATACCTCAATTGATGCCTCAATTGATGCAGTATCACCTGATTTGTCTATGCCTTTTCGAGCCTGTAACTGTTGCTGTCCAACAGGGGTCCATTAGCTAGCTAGGGTTCCTCAAGTGAAACTCCGTGATACCAGAAGGCATTAACGTGGTCCACCATCGAGCGGGACACCCCATCGACCGGGACACTTTTTCCTTCCCTATAATCACCCAACTTCAAGACGCGTTTTCTCTACCACAACAATGTCCGAGAGCTTCCCAGAAAACCGAGTTCTTCTCGCGATCAATGCGATTCGATCAACACCGAGGTTGAGTATCCGACGCGCTGCAGAGATATACAACATCCCCAAGTCGACAATTGCTGCGAGATTGAAGGGCCGGGCTGCAAAGTCCGACAGCTGCAACGGCCGTTCGAATTTGACGAAGAT